TCTAGGTAGTCAGTTTATAAAAATTATAATATTAAATTGAACCACTCAGAGTCTCAAATTGAATCAGTATTGTCCAAATTGATTATGAATATATTATAAAAAAATTTATAAATTTTATTTTTATAAAATATAAAATTAAAATTGAAAAAATCTGTACCATCTAGATTTTAATCTGAATGGCCCAAATCTTTCCTAGATGATGAGCACCTCAATGCTCAGTAAGTTGCTAAGTACTGAAATTGAATCCTGAATCTGTTAAGTGTTCATTAACATTGTTGTAGAAGATGTTGGCATCACATACGAGACCAAACTTCTCGAGGAGCTTTCTGATAGGGATGGTTTCATCCTTAAAAGGTTAAACACTTGAGGAGGGAGCGACCCTATGCGTCAAGCATCCTCTTCTGCTTCAGCATTTCAGATTAAGAGAAGAGAGAGAGATGGAGAGATCCAAAAACAGGGTGAGGGAAAATTTATGGCCCACAATTAATGAAGTTTAATTTAAATTAATGGGAGGAATCTAGTTCCCTTAAATTTATTGTTCAATATTAAAAATATATTAAATATAAGTTTATGGTTTATCTAGATGGATCTATAGTTTAGAGTTTCAATTATCATTTAACTCATTTTAAATTAATCCAATAACTAGGCACACTAACTTCAAACTTGCAACTAAAGATCATGTTAGGTCCATTTTAAAGAAATACTTAGGTAAATCATATGCACTATGCCATTTATACTTTGTCCAATTAAAATACTTTAAGTAATCTACATAAAATCATATGTAGCATTTTTTAATTAATTTTATTTTTATAATAGAATGCATATTTAATTTTTTTCCTTTATCTCTCTATTATCATTAATATCAAAATTAATTTATACTTAATACCATCTAAATGTTATTTTTTTATTGCACAGATCACAAATGATCTGGTGCATTCGATATACCTAAGTATTTCTTTTCTTTTAACTGTTCGAAATAAAATGGGAAAATATATATGCAAGTTCTTATAATTTTTAATTTTATTAAGCTCTTGTGATTTATTTTATTTTAATTGAGCCCTTATAGTTTAATTAATTAAATTTCTTAAACCCTAAAAAATTAAAATCCTTGAATTTTTCTATAAAAACCAAAATTAAGATTTTTATTAAATTATTATATAACTTTATATTAATTGCACAATTTTATAACTCAAAATTTATATAATCCTTAATTAATTAAGTTGTTTTTAAATATTTTTATACTTATTAATTTTCATAAAAAATTAATAAAAATTTCAACAGTTTATTAAATCAAATTTTATTTTTTGATTTTAGATAAAAGTATTAAATTAAATTTCTGTTTCTGTAAACTCTAAAAGTATTTTTGTTAGGAAATTTAATAATTATGATTAATTTTAACTATTTAATATATCAAAGAGGGTTTGGTTAAAACAAATAACCTACGGGACCTAATTTAAATTTTAAAAATATAAGATTAATTCTCCCAAATTAAAATTACTCATAAGAATAAAACATTATCTTTTTCTAAGAATAGTCAGGATTACATAATATTATTTTTAAAAAGTTATTACTATACATTTTTCTTAAAAACTCATGACAAACATCACCTTTGTGTAATAGTAACTCAATTTATACAACAATAAAAAAAAGAAAGAAAATGAGTACAGTAAGAAACTAATTAATTTATGGATCCACATTTAGACAGTGCTTTGAATAATTAAGCAGTTGATACTATGCAGTGAACCTAGCTTTTTTTTTTTTTCGGTCGACCTTCATTTGTAGCATTTTCACCTGTTTGATTTGCCCAAATAATCAATTAATTGGGAGCAAACCATGGTTTGAAAAAAATTACCCAAACAGCATAATTAATCAGATAATCAATTACGTAGGTAGAATAACGATTTGTAATAAGCTACCTCTCAAAGCTTCTCTGAACCAAATAATCATTAATGCATCTTTTTGTTTTTGGATGATTGGGTGAAAAATCGTTTCAAGCCGATAAAACGATAAAGGGAAGTTGTCAAACTCCCTCGTAGGGATAGCAACCTATCACTGTCCACTCCGCATTATTGCATCCTATCATGATATATAAGTAAATGTTAATATTAATCTAATTTAAATTTTTATAATTGAACAAATATATATAATAAATAATATATTTTATTTCTTAAATAAATTTTAACAAATTTAATGATATTTTATATAATTTTATTAATAATTTAATCTTAAAAAGCAATGCTTTTCATATTATTTTGCAGTAATTAATTGATGATCTTGTTGAAAAAATAACACACATACAGTTGTGGGATTTATCATTAAAAAAAAGTAAATGTGGGATCTATCATTAAAAAATACGAATGTAAAATTGACATTTGTAAATGTTAAAATTTTACATAAGGTGTAAAAAATAATAAAATTTTATTTTAAAAGATCATGTGAGATCTATAATAAAAATTGAAGGTGGATATAAGATTTTTAGTAAAAATAATAAATTTTGATATGCAATGAAATTTATATGGGGATAATAATACGGTTTAGATAAAAATAATTTACTACAAATTATTATTAACATATGTTAACAAATCGTAAAATAATTTATGTGAGAATATATAAACAATTTTTTGCTCATATTCTTCAAATGCATAATATATAAAATCTATTATTCTATTATGTATATGTACAAGTAAATTATAGTTTGAAAACATATAAAAAAATATTGATGTAATTATGTGCTTCAAGCTTGAAAAATATTATGGGCTTCAAATTAATTATATAACATTAATGAATTTATCTTACACTACAAATTTAATCTTTTATTAATAATTATTGTATTACTTACAATGCTTTATTAATTAATATAATACCCTCATGCATATAATTGACAAATGATATTATAATATAGATTATATTATGTGTTTGATTTACTATTAGTTATGATTTATAAATAATATTGTAATATAAATTATAGTATGATTCATTATAATACTTTTTTCTTATTTTAAAACTTACATACACTTTAGTCTTATTTTTACATTATTAGGAATATCATGTTCATATTATAAAATATTTAATTTATTATTGTATTTATATAAAAATTAAAAATTATTAATTTACCCTTATAATCTATTTGTCTATCATCTTTCTTTATATTTAAGGAATTTTAAACAATTTTTGCCAACAAAAAACTTTAACCAATTAAGCATGACAATCATTTAAAAATTTTAAGAAGATTATAAAATTTAAATGAACATACACATAAATTTTATTGACTAATCTATCTCTTATTCCATTAAGTTTTTTTCCACATACATGTTTGAAATATTATTTTAGCAAATTTACTCCTTTCATTTAGAAACGTAAAGTATTTTTTTAAGTCATTAAATGTTCAAAAATATAAAATATTTTTAGTGTTTTAAGATGTAATTATTATTTTTTTAAAGTGTCCCTAATAAATAAATTATTTTATATTAGGCTAAATTATATGTTACTCCCTTGAACTTTGAACCACGCATAACCTCGTCAATCTTTAAAACTTTATAATGAACCCCCTTCAATTTTATATTGTGGTGATTAATTTTATACATTAATTATCTACACATGGCTTAAAGTTTAGGAGAGTCATACGTATATTGGTTTAAAGTTTAGAGGCTTAAATGCATGTAAAAATAAAGTTTAAGAAGGTATTCTCTCCATTTAAATATAAGATATTTTTTGAAGAGTTACTGTTTAAAAATATAAGACATCTTTAATCTTTCGAGGTATAATCATTACCTTTTTTTTCAAAAATGTCTCTATTAATAGTGACTTTATATTTATTATAGGTGTTTAAGAGGAGTAAATATGAAAAAATAAAATTAGTTTGAATGTAGGTAACTATTTTATAGGAGGTGAAATTCGATTAAAAATACTTTATTTTTTAAATGAAGAGAGTATTATAATTAATGGCTAGGGGTTATTTGTATAAACATATAAACTCAAGAAGGTTTATTATGAGAAAATGAGAATAAAATTCTTTTGAATTATATAAATAATAATTTAATATCTCAAAATGTCATAATTTTACTGAAGACCTTAAGGACTTTTATATCATTAATAAATTTATATAAATAATAAAATTTCTCTTATTAAAATAAAATAATTCATAAATTTTATTTAAATAATCACAACTTTTCTTTTTATATTCGTAATAATACAACAATAAATTACAACTTCACATGTTAAATTTTTGATTTGTTATTACATTATTACGAATATAAGAAGAAAAGTTGTGATTATTTAAACAAAACACTTGTGAATCATTTTTTTTTAACAAGGAAAATTTGATTATTTACATAAATTCATTAATGACAAAAAAATTTTCAAGAACTTTAGTAAAATTATGGTATTCTGAGAGACCAAATTGTCATTTGTATATTTTAGAGAAATTGTATTATCATTTTTTTATTTATTATTAAGTTTTAACTTTCAAAAGTTAAGGAGGTTATTTGTATATGGTTCAAAGTTTTGAGGAGTTATGTGTAATTTAGCCTTTATATTATTTTAGAATGAAACACCTTATTAAATAAGGATAAATATAAAGGATTGTATTAGTTTGAAAATAAATAACTACATTATTTAAGAAGTGAGATTCGATTAAAACTGTTTTAATTTTTTAAAAGTGAGAGTATGTATTTAAAATTTCTTAAAAAATACTAAATAAATCAGTTTGTATAAGTAATAAATTTAAAATATGAATAAAAATTTTAAAAAAATACATCAAAAAATGATATTTTAGTCCAACAAACTATCAATTAATAATAAAAAATAAAATAAAAACTTAAAGATAAAAGGTTTGTTTGTATTTTGTTACTCTTAACTAGATAATAGTAGAAAAAGCAATATATTTTATTTTAAGAATATTAAAATAAATTTTAATATTTTTTTATTTTTTAAAACTAAAGTAGATGCACGGCTATAAATCTAGTTGTGTGTAAAAATGCGATGTCTTTACAGTTCGGCATTGTCAGTCTCGATTTCCAAGCATGATTGCAGTGTCAGAGCGCCGGACGTTGGTGGCGGCGGTTCCTTGTGAAATTTCAAAGTGGAAAACCTTGGACGCGCACTTTCTTCCTGAAATTCTTCCCTATTTCTTTCTGTGGTAAAATAAATAGACTGCCAGGTCACTTGTCTCCCTCCTCCATTACTGCTCCCAATTTTGGAAAAACAGAACTTGAATGGTATGAAATGGACGGGAATAAAATCATAAACTATCTGGATTTTATAATATTGATGGTTCATAATTGATGATGGGTTTTCTTCACTCAACGGCCTCTAATTCTTTGATTTCGTTACGTGCATTCATTTTCCCTTTGCCTCATTGTAACAAAACACCTTCTTATCCTCTTCCTTACGCTGTAATGCCCCTCTTATCTATCACCCCATCTCCTCGGTTCCTCGCATTCTCCGCCGGGCGCCGCCGGGAATCTACTCCTACCCCCCGCCTTCTTCCTCCATTCCGATGGAAGCGTTCCCTCAGTCCGGCACGGTCAGTACGTGTCGGGTTTCTGGGTTCTGCTACGGAACCAGCTGTGGTTAGGTTTATTGCGCATGGTCTCAGCGCCGGTGCGGTGGATCTGCTTCATGATGCCGGAGCTACGGCGGCGATTCTCGTCGGCGGATACGCTTGTGTGTTCGCTTTTAATGATTTGACCCGGCGGGAGGTTCTTCAACAGGTATCTGGCAGTCTGGCTCTCAATCTGACTTGCATGCGTGAGATGAATCTTGCTGATTTATCTCTTGGTGTTTTATTCAGTTTTGGTTCTGAATTTTTAGGGGTTTTTATTATTGAGCTATGTATGGGACATTTTTGTTACATTGCTCCCGTGAATCGATGTCCTGTGTGGTAACCTTAAGGATTGATTAAAATTGATGTCAGAATCTGAGCAGAAAACTGGTTCATATGCTCTCTGGATTGCTCTTTCTCGCTTCCTGGCCAATTTTCAGGTACCCTATATCTCTGTTAGAAATTCCTCATATTAAGCACTTTTAACTTGAAATGCTTTCTCAACTTTCAAGCGTGGGCACCCTTTTTGGAGTGCCAGTATGATGTATATATGGCTTCCGTACTGCTGCTGGTGCTTCATGCCTTTTTCACATTCATTTTGATGTGATTGTGAGATTTTGTCTCTGCAAAGACTGGTTTATTTGAATGGCTAAATCCAAAGATAGCAACTCTACAGGGGCACGCTACTTTGCTGCCTTTGTTCCTCTGGTGAATTGCTTGAGGCTTGTGGTGAATGGTCTGTCATTGACGTCCGATGAAGATCTGATTAAGTCTGTGACAAGAAAAGGACAGCCGCAGTAATTTTTCTGAACCATCACTTGTCATTGCTTGTTATTCAGCTGTGATGTAATGTTGATCAATGTATTAAACTGGAACTTCATATGCCTGCAGGGAATTGCTGAGGGGTCCCTTGTATTATGTTTTGATGCTGATGTTATGCACTCTTACTTTTGGCGAGATTCCCCAGTCGGGGTAATCTCCTTGGCAATGATGTGTGGAGGAGATGGTAACAATCCTGTTCTTTTGTTATTTTTTTTGAAGTTCAACCTCTCATGATGAAGCTTTAGCTTTCTCATCATTAGATGCACATCTCACATTATACTTCTGATGGGGAGCAACCATCTCACGTAGTCACATTATATTCCTATCCTTACTTTTAACAGAAAATTACATATGGAGGATCATAATAATAAGAAATCTAAAGCCTAGAAGTATAGTTATTGGCCAAGATGCAACTCTTTCATTATCATTCCTTCCCCTTGAGTTGTCACCGGACATGAACTGCAAAAGTGGGGATTCAGACCTGTAATCAAGCACTAATGCCAAACTTTTTGGGAGGTTGTTTGCGTACTAGACTAAAAGCCATTATTGTTACTCATAGTACACCTATTTCATTATCAACCCAAACCAGACACAAAGCTCGCCAATTTCCATGACTTTGTAGCGACACTTGGGTGAAACCAAAGTATGGGTCTTTACTTGCTTATATTGTAATAATTTTTTAAGTCTCTTGTTAGCTGTTACTTTAGGAAGTCTAGGTGGCAACTTAAAGTCTAGATTGTAACTCCATAGGCTACAACATGAGTGTGCAAACTTCACCGGAGTTAGAAAGCAAGTTTATGAGAAATTTAAATCATGGTAGTTATAATTTTAAAAATCCTTTTTGATTCCATTTATGACAAATTCAAGTTCTTTATCTTTCTAATTAATTCGAGTTTTTTGAGGGCTGTTCACTGTATTTGCAAAGTTGTGGTCCTTGGATGCAATTTCCCTTTTTGTAATTTGATCAATGAATTAATTAAGGCATGACTCTTGAGGAGCACCCAATGCTCAAGTCTCTTGAGAGGTCAAACTATTTATGGAAGTGTCTTTAAATCCTTAATTGGCTCTTGCTTTTCTTTTATTTCTATTGCTAATGAGCTTTTTTGGCGCTGGGTGATTTTCAGGTGTAGCTGATATTATTGGCAGAAGATTTGGAAATGTGAAGATTCCTTACAACAAGAAAAAGAGTTTCGCTGGTAGCATATCCATGCTTGTTGTTGGATCACTCATTTCAATTGGGTACGCCCAAGCTTCCATCTTTAACCACTTCCTCATTGATTTTGTGCTTTTCAAAGTAGGGAATCAGCTTTTTAAGACCTGTGCTCCATTCTCTCTCCCTGTTATAGCTAGGCAGCTGTATCAGCTATTGAACTGAACAAACATGTACAACATGAAAGGTATGTTGGGAGACGGTTTACATGCATATAATGGGCAAAGTTCTTCAGTGGACTTGATTGACCAAATAAAAGTTGATTAACTCAATTATAAAAAATATATGTAATTACAATCTTCTCAATTACAAAGATATATATGTATTTACCTATCTATGTATGCATGTAATATATTTATATAAGCATGTCAAATGTTTATAGATCCTCTCCAGTGGTGCAAATGGTTGAATATGATATAATCAGGCTAAATTGGTCTCTATCTTAAGGTTACAGATGTGAAAATAAAAGGAAAAATGTATCTGTGGAGTTAAAAATTTTTTAACCATGAAGAAACATTATACTTTAAAAATCTCAACTATACGGGGAAAAAGAAAAGGAAAAAGCACATTAAAAAACAGTAGTGTGTTGACAAATTAGATCCTCTCTGACTGTCTTTGCATAACACATCTTTAGTGAAAATCACTTTTGACATATCCTTTGTTAATGGACTTTATCCTTCTACCTTTATCAAGTTGGATCTGCCTGAAATTTTTATGGTGATATTCTAACTGTCTTCGCAAAGTGCTGACGAAAACTCACTAGAATGTCATAGATGCTGAAAATCTATACTCATTTTGGTGATTTTATCAGTTCTTCTACACACTCGTTTTGGTAAGTTTCTATAGGCTCTTCGGCTATCTGCACAGTCAGTAAGTGCTACAAATGAATGCAAAATACTTCAATTCTGAAGTATATTTTCACATATTGGTGCATCTATGTATTTGTAGGATGCTGTACTACTATTCAGTGTTGGGATATATGCAGTGGATTGGGGACGCACAATGCAGATGGTAGCTTTGGTTTCTTTGGTGGCAACAGTGGTGGAATCCCTTCCCATTTCAGATGTTGTTGATGACACACATCTCTGTTCCTCTTGCAACCATGGCTATGGCTTCTTTCACGTTTCATGCTTAGATTTTCAAATTCAGATCCTTTCAAGCATCTCTGAAGAGGAAATAAAGAGAGGTGAGCTCCCCTTCCATAAGACTCAAACACGTGGGCGTGGGGACCACTTGTTTCTGTTTTTTTTTTTTTTTGCCTCCCTTTAGTTCAACTTCAGAGAATCTGGGCTCTGGCTTTTCGATGCCTGTTGCTATTAGCCCCATCTACATCGAATATTGAATGTATCAATTGAATAAAGAAAGAAAGTGTTCCCAAGAGTAGATGTTTGTTTAGCTGAAGTGGCTTTCGTAGAAATTTATAGGGAAAATATCACTGCAGGACCTGTGAAGCAATTTTATGGCAAAAGAAAGACTAAAAGAATCAGAACTGTCACTAAAATGTAATTAAGTTTGAGCATAAAATGATCATAATATCCTTGTTTTTTTAAAAAAGAAAAGAAAAAATGAAAAAGCCAATCCCATGGTTACCACAGCTTCGGCACTGACAATTTTATTGAATAATTGGTACAGGTGGTTAAGGAAGGTTTGATTTCATGGTGACTTGAAAAGCTTGGCTTTTTTAATTTTGTAATGCAATATATATATGTATGTATGTATATGTATATGTGTGTGTATATATGATATAGTCATTCAAATTTCTAAATCATTCTAAATTGTAAACGTAAGGTTGCTTGTATTTTTAATGATACCTGTTATTTTATATTTTTATTAAATTATTTGTTATTTGATCTATCTATTAAATTTGTGGGGGCTTAAAAAATTCCTTTATTTTATGAGTTTTCAATTGTAAATGACATTTGAGTGTCATTGAAATAACCTGTTTATATAGATAATAAATTCATTGTCAAACTATTTATTTATTATCATAATGGTAACTTGTTAATTTTAACCGTGTTGGTTTTAATTCATGTCTTTCAATGATTAATTTTAACAATTGAATGTGTGTGAGGATGGGTTGGGTGAAGTTAGGGCCACAGTCCACAACCACAATCATGGCTAATTTGAATAGAAAGATAAGATGGGAGCCAAGTTTACCCTAATTAAACCAAATTTACTTCTATGGGTCGAGTATTTTATTTTTAATTAATTTTTTTGGGGAATCTGAACTTGATTTTTATCAATTTTTTTAGTTAAAAAAATACAAATTTCATTACTCCAATTTGAACAATTATTTAAAAGAAAATGAAATTCTAGTCTTGTACAATAATTAAGCGTCATGAAACATGCTCGGCCCTATTAGGCCCATAAAAGCTTAACCCAAAATCATGGGACTTACACTACTTCCGAAGATAAAAAAAAAATTAAAAAAGAGCTCAAGTTTAGACCCAAAGAGTAACAGATTATGTAGTTTGTATAAAGAACCGATTTTAAAGGGAGAATAAGACCACTACTCTATAATGGGTTTTGAACTTTTAATTACTTGGTTATGATCCATTCCTTTCCAAGCACAAAAAAAAAACAAAAAAGAAAAGAAAAGCATCCAGGTATTTTCTTGGTTTTGGTTATCTAAAACCAACATCAACTAAAACAACGAATAAAACATCGTCTGTGGATATATGCTTGAAATCTCCAAATAAAAGAAAAATAACATAAAACAACAAAATAGAAAAAATATATGAAATATATTCCATACGCACTCATTCGTTAATTATTCCCTTTTATTTAATAAATATTTAAAACAGGTAGAACTAAATTTCGTATATTCTTAAATTATGCCATAGAACTTATCTTAAAAAAAAAAAAAAAGAGCATGCAATGGAAGGACAATTATACAAGAATAAAATGCCGACTTTGGGTTTGCAAGTAGTAGTTGGTTGGAGAGGAATTATAGCATATAGTCCACAGCTCTTAATTATTTGATTAATTATTTCAGTACCAAAGAAGCTTAAAGCTTTATTGTTTCCTTTCTTTTTTTTTATTTAATGGGATTTAGGTGAATTAAATTCCTCAGGGTATACTTCAGCTCAAAGAATATTTATAGATCGTTCATTAACAACAGAATTTTGAACATGCAATCTTATGAATTATATATCAAATTTTTATTAACTAGACTATACTTAATTAACTTATTGTTTGCTTTTCAATTATTCTTTTTTATGTCGTGGTGCTTACAACCATTATCTTGCCCTCTATTTTTTAGTACATCATATTATTATTATTATTATTGCCAATCTAAGTGGATAAAGGCTCCAAGAAGAGTGTTGTTCACTCTGAGAAAGGGCGAAAGGTGTGCTTTTTCATTATCGACTTTCACCCAATTATTCTACCACGTCCTTATCATTAATTTATGGTTCAAATTATCCAATCGTGGTCAATTCCTTCTGCTCCCTCTGTAAGTAGTGTTAGGTTATTTAATCCTTGTTCGGTGATACTTTGTAACTTTTAAGTACTTCTAAAAGTGTTACATAAACCTGACAATATGTCTTACGCCGTACTTGGCTCACGAGGAAAAATAGAGAAGGAAGAAATTGTGAAGAGAAAAAATGAGATGAAGTGAAAAGTAGAGAGATGCAGGGTCTATTTAAAAACTTATTCTGGAAACAGTTTTTTTTTTAAATAAGAGAATAAAAAAATTTGTTTGATAACGTATTTTAAAAAGTGTTTTGAAAAATAAAAAAAAAAAATAAATATTATTTGAATAATAAAAAAATAAAAATAATTTTTAGGTGTTTGTGATTATTGTTTTAGAAAAAAGGAAGAATAAAAAAAATTATTTTTATTATTTTTTTTGTTCTCAGAACATGTTTTACAAACTATACTTGACTAATGGAGAGAAAATAGAAGAAAAAATTATTAATTTCATATGGATAATAATAATTCAATTATTTGTTTCAAAATGTTATATATAATAAAATTTAATAATTTAACATATTATTTATATAAGTTTATTATATATTACTTATTAAATAAAAACATAATTGTATATTCTTTTATCCCATGCTACCAAAAAATTATTTTTTCCAACTTTAATTTTTATTTCTTAAATGATTAAATATATAAACAATCTAAATTCTAAAGTGAAGGGAAAACTAGGATGAAAATAGAGGGGGGCAACAAGCAGGAAATGAAAATATTTATGGGTAAATTTGAAAATTGAGTTTTTCTCTCCAAACCCCATTGGTTAACAGACTATATTTAAATTAAATAAGATTCTCTCCGTGTTTATGTTCAAAGTTTTTAATAACTTATGAAATGCTGAGGTAATCTTTTAAAAAATGGAAATCACGTGATATTAAATTACAAAAAAAGAATATTTACTCGTTACTTCATACCGTGGAAATTACCTATGAAGATTAAAGTGTTTAATTTTAGTCTAAATTTTAACAATGATTTGATGAAGCATACCGAAATAATTACATCATCCCACAGGCCTGACTTGAATGTTCCAGATAATGTAATGTAGCTCAGAGGGAAGCAATAGTCTCAGTGCTGGATTGAAAAAGGAATCATTGGACCATCTAAGGATCTTGAAACCTCTTTAAAATACAATGCCGATTTGCTTTTCTTTATAATATTTATCCAATCCAGTTTTTGGAATAAAGGCTTGTCATCTTTTGTCTCTCTTTCATTGATGTTCCCAATTCACATTTCGATTTCTCTTTTTTATTTTTTATTTTAGCGTGTTCAAATTTGAATTCAAATCCATTCATATCAACTTTGAGATTTGTAAAATAATAAAATATACTTGTGTTTATCTGTCCAACCAGCCACCAAAATAAAATAACAAACCATTGGCCACAATAATATTAAAATAGGGTTGGTTCCCAGTGCCTATTAAAATAGAGGTTGGTTCCCAGTGCCTGCCACGGAAAATTATAAAAAAAAAAATCACAGAAAAAAGTAGACCCAATTGGAATATGGATAAAATATTCATGCTAACAAAGAGGAGAAAATGTCATGTCGAATTAATTCCATGGATCGGAGATTGTAAGTTAAAAGATTCTCACTACGTGGCCTCCTGATCCGAAGACACAAAATCTTCTAATTAGTTAATCTGGTCTTCTTTTATAAGATATTTTTTACAGCTGGTTTTTATAAGATACTGTTTTTTTTTTTTGTGGCAGTTGCTTAACATTTCATGTTGAGAAATTTTTAGATTAATCTGCCTATATCACATCATTCGTAATCCATTTAATCAAAATATAATATTTAAAATAATATTAAATATAAATTAATACTGACATTAATAAAAAAAAGAAAAAAATGCAAGAAATTAGATAATTATCCTATTATATAAAAATAAACTCATTGAAAAATAATGATGCGTAAAATTTTATTTGAATGAATTGGTTCAATTTTATAAATAGACTATGGATGACGTGATACATTAAATTCATGTAAAAATTTCTCTATTTCATAATACAAGATGTTTTAAAAATAAAAAATAAAAGATATTTTTAAAATTTTATATTTAATTCAAGATAAATTAGGATTCTAAACTTTATTTAAAATATTTTATTGCTATTTGTAGTTTGAAAAAATAATGTCTTTACTACGAGGGACTATTAAAAAAAATATAAAGGTCATTTTGCTTGCAAGCTTTTTTTAAAAGATTTGTAAATACTTTAAACTCAATTATAAATCATTTTTTTTTTCTAAATGTTTGAAATCCATTACCTTGTCATCCTAAATTAACGCACTTAATTGCCATTATGTAAGTCCCACCATTTACATTTTTTTAATACTTTTATAAAAATTAATGATCATTTTTACTCTTAAATTTTTTTTTTTAAATGTGTCGATATCCTAAACTCAAATTTTAATCATTTTTTACCTTGAACGTTTGAAATCCATTTCCTTGTCAGCCTACTGTCCGCGCGCGCCTGACAATCTTGTTAGCGGGCCCTACACTTTACAAAGTTGGCTTTTTTAAATATTTTTATAGTAAAAGGTTGCACATTGGTCCCAATCTTCTTCTTTCTCTCCCCTATCTCTCCTCCCCCAATTCTCTTTCCTCGATTCCTCCAACCTTTTTCTCCACGATTTGCAACCTAGTTTTGAACTTGCTCCAGAATTGGGTTGTTAAAGCATGGAGTAGAAGATTGGAGGAATGGAGGAGGAAAACATAAAGGAAGGAGAGAGAGGAGGAAGGAGGAAGGAGATTGGGACTCACATGTAATATTTTATTATAAAGAAGTATTAAAATGCCAACTTAATAAAGTGCAAGCCCACTAACAAAACTGCTAAGTACGTGAACGATGAGGTGATGAGACAGCAATTTCCAAAACATTCAAGGACAAATATGACTCAAAATTAAGTAT